AATTACTTCCAGTTTTGTCTTGAAAAATGTCAGACCTTAGTCCATTGCTAATAAAATCAATTCACCTTCTGTTCTGAGCTTCTCTGTGAGCTGTGTCAAATTTTAACCACAGAAGAATCTGACATAATTTAAAAAGCTTCTGTTATTACCACATTAGGAGCCCTTGTGCCAGAGTCATCAAATTTAGCTTAGCAAAATGCAATGCAAATTTGTAAGGTGGAGGTGATTGAGGAGCCTGTAAATTTGTTATTCAAGCTATTGCAGAGCATGAAGTTATTTTCTGGAAGTGCAAGTTCTCTGACTGAAAGTTAACTCGTGATGGTATGTTCAGCTCTGGGAAGGTTTGTGCTGGGTATCGGTAGAACACTCCTCAAGTATAAAATTAAGAGGATTACACAATGTACTCTTTTTGAATTTACACAGATTATTATTGCTGTTCTTGCTGCTATTTCTCCCCAGTAATTCATGCCCCACCTTATGTGGAGTTTTTATCTTGCAAATAGTAGTTTGTGGTTAAACTCTATATAAGTGGCTCTCTTATATGCTGCAGAGAGGACACTGAGGGCAGACAAGTGTTTGTGCCTTTTTAAAGATGTAGCATTTAAGATTTTGCTCTTTTCCCTGCATACTTGTCATGCCAGGAGAAGTTTTGCACTGAGGGACACACTCTCCCTCCATTCCTGTGCCTTTCAGTGGATGCTCTTTTATGGAGTGCATTCTTCAGTGCCAAGAAGCAGCTCTTTTTCTACTCCAAATTTGCCTGTTTATGAGAGCCTGGGATATACAGGGATTTTTTTTTTGGCTGGGAAGCTTGTTTGTGAGTGGGAGAGGGTAGTGTAGATTCTGCTGCAGCATACATGTTGCCTAGAAAAACTTCATCCTGTTAAATAAAACTATTTAATTTCTCTAGTAGCTATCTTCAGAGGAATTTTAAATCTCAAAATGTAGTAATAAGGATAGATAGTGTTCTATATGAAAACTATTTTTTATCCATTTTTCATTTCAGTTTTCATGTGGACAGTAAAACTTTTCAAAAGCAAAAGGTAGATCTCAGGTTTCAAAAATATTTACCACTCTTTGCCAAAGGTCTGCTTCTGCTCCTTTTTACTTTCTTAGTTCAGTGTGGGTATTGATCATGCATTTTGTTCCTCTAGTCCTTAATTGAGGACTCTTAAACTTAGTAATGGAACAAATATTCCTTATACTTGAAAGCAAATTATAGAAAAGGTTCATATTTTTAAAGCATTTTAATTGCCATTTATCATTGTTCTTTTGCAAGTTTTAAGCTCGGGTCATTATGGCACAGAATGCAAATACTGTATTATCCTTGTTAAAGTGGAGGAGAAATGAAATGGTTTTGACATTTTCCAGAATAGCTGCAGTTTTACTGTCTGAAAGATCAAAACTGGATAGAAGCTGCAGTGCCATAAGATGAGTAGGAAGGAGTAAAATTGGAGAGATTTTAGGTTGTGGGGTTTTAATGATTTATAGGAATCGACATCTTATATGCTATTTTGAGAGTAGGTACCTGTTTTTCCAGTCCCAAGCAACACCTTTGTAGCTAATTGTGAAGTGACTCAGCATTATCCCTCAGTATAGATTATTATATCCCAAAATCTGGCACCCTAGACTTGTGCCAGCTCAGGCACTACTTGTGCTTGCAAAAGGTACTGCCCTTGTTTTGGAAGGCAACTTCTTGAGACAAAGGAATTCCTCAGTAACCTTTACAGAGGTTTCAGCATTGACTAGAGTAAATATCCTGTCCTATGGGAAGGTGAGGGAGGTTTTCTTTATATTTTTATTCATTTTCTCTGTGCTCAGCTCAAAAAAGGAACCAGCTAACTGATTTGCTATCTTAAAAACTCGTATCTTAACATTTGCATACGGCTGTGATTTACTGTGGGTTATTTTGTTAGATTACTGGTTCCTGTCTCAAGAAAATATTTATTACCAAGTGTTTGTTTGTGCACACTGGACAGTCCTCTCCCCTTCTTTCTCACACACTACAGCATCAGTACTGAGAGCTTTGCTACACTGCAAGGCTGGAAATTCAGATTTGAAATTAATTCAGATTTATTCAATGAACATGCCCCTTCCACGGGTGTCCCTGCATGATGAGCGAGCTTTTCCAGGCTTTACCACCCTGTTGGAAGTGTTGGCATCCCCAGAGGAGCAGGGAGTGATGTCAGTGGCTCTGTGTGGTGCTGCTGATGAAGCTCCTACCTGGCTGCTGTGAGATACTGCCTTGTGCTGTGCAATGAGTCACTGGGACAGACTGTGCTGGAATGTTACTGCATTTTCAGTCTGCAGTCCAGCACACCAAAACACTTTGCTTTCCTTAAGAATACAGGCACTGTAGAAAGGTCTAAGTTATTCTTCACATAACTAGAAACAAAAAGCAAGAGACCTGAGAGCTGGGCAGGGAACAGACCAAGAGATAATTCTAATATAAGAAAGGTGAGGCGTTAAAGGAGACTTACAGGAGGAAAGAGGTCTCTGACATAAACTTCACTTACCTGGATGGAAGTAGCAACAAAAAAAAAGACAGGTTTTCTTTAAAACAGACTACAGGTTCAGCAGAATGTGATAGGTTTGGATACCATGAATAAGACACTAATTCCTACTTAGGGTTCACATATTCCTTATGTGATAGGGAGCAAACACTTCAGGCTGCAGATACATGAAAGATATCAACTTTATAACATGTAGCAAGACTTTCTTCTGCAGGTCTCCATGTACTTTGCAGAGGAGGGATAGACCAACGTTTTTCATCCCTGGGCACCATGTCATGGTAGCATATCAGTAATTTGCAAAAAGTGCAATGGCAGGAGCTGCACGGTGCATGGTGGAGCCCAGAGTAGGATTCCATCCTCCTCCTGCCTGCACAGATCTACCTTTCTACAGGTATGTGTATGACAGCTTCAGATAACCAGGCACTGGAGGGTTTTTCTATTTACCTTTCATGTGGCTAGAACTGCCTGCTAGTGCAGGAAAAGAGAATATGGACACTAGTGTGAGTGAAGAAATGGCATGTGGAGATCTGCCTTTAGGTGGTGAGGGCACTGATTGTACCTCACTTTGAGTTTGTTGTATCAGTAGGACCTTAGCCTGGCTACTAAGACTATTGTGTTTTTGTATCCTAATGTGGAACCTGAAGGAGGAACTGCTCACAGTTAAAATACATAAATATACATATATATATATAAATATATTCTCAAGCCCACTGGGGCTTTCATCATGTAATTTTTCATTGTGTGTGAAAAATTCAGGCAGGTCCCCAAGGATCCTCTGCCCTCCCAGGGACCCATGGGGATCCTGCAAGCAGAAGGCCCTGCATGTTGATGTGCTCCTGTTGTGAGCTGGCTGATAAGCCCAGGGAGAGATGCATTTCTGGGATACAGGGCAGAGAGGAGCAGGATGGATGAACAGAGAGCTCTTTTTAGATGAACATTGCCATGGAAACCGCTGCCATTCCTCCGTGTTTGCAGATGTATGTTGGACACTTACCTCTTGTGAAGTCAAGCTCATATATCAAATTTGTGATGCAGAAGTGCCTCAGAGATCCCTGGGCTGTGCCTGCAGAAAGTCAGCCCTGCTTAAATAGGGCTGGTCAACCTCCACAGTTGGGTGGGCTAATAAATGTCTGCCCCAGCTCTTCATGGTTTGTTTTGAGAGAGAGAAAAAGTGTGGTGCCTTGTCAGGCCTGCTGTGATCCCTGCTGAGGAAGAAACCTGCCCAAGCTCTTTGGGACAGGGATTTGAATTCCCTTTTGTGCCTTCATCTATCCAGCTGTAAAATAGCATGGATGTTTTGGGTTTTTTTTTTGCACAAGTGAAAAAGGTTTTGTCAAAAACACTTATGATAAGAAATCCTCCATAAAGATCTCTAATTAATGGAATAATGGGAACAACACTTGAGGTTGTTACATTTGCTGAAGAAGAGGCATTGAGCACCTCTGTCCCTGCAGTCAATGAGGGTTTGCATGACAGGATTTCCATTCATAATCCCCGAGGCATTGAGCACCTCTGTCCCTGCAGTCAATGAGGGTTTGCATGACAGGATTTCCATTCATAATCCCCTTATGCTATCTTATTTCCCGAATAAATTTTGAAATCTCCACCCATTCTATGCAATTTTTTTTTTCAATTTATTTATTTTTATTTTTATTTTTTTTTTTGTCCTTCATTGCTGGGACATAGGATAGAAGATGTGTTTAATGTAAGAAGATACTGGAATCCACTGGGTGGATTGCCAGTCACAGACATCTCTTTTCTGACCTTGCAACAGAGCAAGTCAGCAGGGCAGAGAGATCCTGTCCTCAGAGGGACAGGGAAGAGACAGGCTATCACCCTTTGGTCAGATTCTTGGCTGTTGTTTTGTTAATTTTGTAGGTGGAAGGTGATTTGAATTTATGAACTGAAATCTGTTGGGTTCAAGCATGTAAATGTACCTGAAAAATCTCAATTATTCTGGGATTTGGTAGCTTTACCTACAGTGTTATATTGTATCTTCTTATTTTGTTCTCCTGAATCTGCCCGTGGATCTTTACAAATAATATAAAAAAAAGGTTTTTTTCTTGTTGAGATTTAAGCCTGTTCTTCTTATGCTGAAGAAAATATCAAAGAGACCGAATCTATGTTCCTGTTTACAAAGCTGGAATTTTACCAGAAAGTACTAGAAGCACTTCTAGTTTTTTACTGCTGTGTCACATTCCTCCTTGATGCAAGGTGGAAAATATTAGACTGAAATATGATTAAATATTGTGACTATACAGTACTTTCTATATTTACTGAGCTTTGTGTTCCCTGCTTTAAAGACTTTTATTCTACAGAGAAAATGAAAGCCGGGATTCTGAGTGAAGAATTGGATTCCACAAGCTGAAATTCCAGGAGAAACTTTTCTTCTTAGTACCAGCTCTACAAATCTTCAAAATTCTTTAAGAGAATCACTCCTTTTGGCATGTATTTCTTGGTCTCTGTGTGTTTACTAAATGGAACTACCCTGCTTGCTTTCATCACATTAGAGGCAGTCAGACTCCTGGCAGGATAAGGAAAGGTTCTTTCTAATTAGTTTTTTTTTCACGCTAATGCTGCTTTCAAATCTTGCTAATGATGATTTTAGTTTCCTGTGACCTTGTGTGCTTCCTTACTGTGTGTTGCAGTTAGTTTTTTGCATTTGAAGATACAGGCAAAACAAGAGACCGGAATCCATTGATTTTGAGACTTGCATAACTCTGGGAGCAAAGCTGAGCAGTTTCGTGACTGACATTCACAGTAAGTCCCAATATATAAATCTTGAATTTTCCCAGCTGAGAGTAGGTGTAAATTAAGGAGGTGTGACTACTGTGAGATAATTTGGTCTGTTGACACCTTTCTGTGATCTACACAAACTCTCCTAATTGGATTCATGTTAAGAAGTGGGACTGTGGAGGTAAACGTGGAGAGTTCATGTGCAGAAGTTTAGGACCTATTGTATTCCTCAAGTAGGAACTGTACTATTTATGGGCTGCCCTTGGGAAGATTCTGGAAGAGAGTAGCAATTGCTCACTCTTTCTGTATAATAAAGGATGGTTAACTCCCCTCTATACAGTGCAGGATATTTTGTAGAATATTTTTCAGAAAACCAGTATGTTTGGATGCAGTCATGGTAGTGAGGGTACAAAACCATAATAAGGATGTGTGACTTAATTGTTCTGGATTATGATGGGGTTCTGTTGGGAACTTCAGCCACTGCTGCATGAAACAAAGGTGGATAATTGCTCTGGAAAAGCATAAATCTCACAAGATTGTGTACTTAACAGCAAGATCCTTTGTCTGGGGATGTATACAGTTTCTACATAAAAGTGGCTCTGCCAAAGAGAATAAAGCACCCAGTGTGCTGCCTTTCTGAAGCACAGAGATAATTTTAAGCACAAAACTAGTTTTTATCAGGGTGGAGAATGCTGAGAGCTGTGGACAATGGCAGAGAGACTTTTATTGTGTTTTTTCAGCTTAATGATGCAGTGCAGGAAAGTCAGTGTTGAATCAGAGCTGCTCTGTAATCACTTATCAGGGTCAGGAGAAGGGTGTTCTCTACAGAGGGAACATGCTGTGCCTGAGATCCAGGGCCGAGGTTGCTGGCCAATATATGCGTGTTCTTCCAGGATAATGTTGCATAAGAAAAAAGGAGCAAGGGATAAACAATTTGCTGTCCTTGGACTTGGGTTCCTGCTGCAAAGGATTTGAATGGGACCTTTCCATTGAACAAAAGTCTGTTTTCCAAGTACAACTTGTTTACTTTAGCACATTGGCAAATACAGGTACGGCAAATTCCAAAGAATCCCAGAATCCAGTGGGAAGGAAGCACCTCAGTGCTCCATAGACTTCCAATTAAAAAATAATTGGAAATCTAGGCAGACAAAAACACTTAGGCTCTGGCATGACACCTGTCCTACCACAGGCCCTCAGTGGTATTGGTCATCACTAATAGGAATACAAGTGCTGTAAGTTCAAGTGCAGTAGCAACAGCTAAGAAAACTACAGTGGGATAAATTTGACATGGAGGGAAAACAGAAAGCCAAAAATCAGTGTACTTTCAGAATGACAAAGAGAAACACTGAAGGTGGGACTCTAAAGTCTTTGGAGAAGGGGTCTAGAGAAGAGAAGCCACGCTGGCTATAGCAATACATCGTTCTGTGACCTTGAGCGAGTCTCAGTGAGCACAAAAGTATTGCAAAGGCAGTTGGATCATTCAGATTTTCAAAGAGATTGGATAGTTATACCTACCCTTAGAGATTCTCAATGATCTCTCACCAAGGGAAGAAGAGGATTTAGCGCTCCCCTATTTTGAGGAAATGTAACTAGTGAAGTAATGCTAGAGCACAATGGAGAGAGTGACTAGATTCACCTAGTAAATGACATGGGAAATTAAGAAGTTAATGACTTGCTGCCATTTACAGGAGAAAACATTCCTTTAGGAATTGTTAGGTAGAATTCCTTTCAAGTCAGGAAAGTGTTTTTTTTTTTTAGTTTGGTAATTTTTTTCTTTCTTCTTTTTCCCTGTTGGACAAAGTACTCGGTCCTATTATCGAACTGAAGGCTAAGATCTGAAGGCTTATGCTCAGGGTGAGCTGAATAGAGTGAGGGGCCATGGTGTTCTGTGGCATTGCCCTTGCTTTCTGTGCAGAGAGAAAGGTTCAGGGAAAGGTCTGTTCCTGTAAATGAACCTGTGTGCCATGATTTTGGTAGTGCTGTATTGATTGTCTGCTAGTCAAGGGGTAGCTCTGGCCACTTGATCTTGAGAGACCCAAACTGGTATTCAAGGGGAGAAAAGCTGGTCACAGAGAATATATTTTTGAAGGGAGGGACCACAACATAAATCCTCCTAGAAAAGGTATTGTGGTCCCCCTCTCTACTTGTAAAGCCTTGTAGAGTGGCACATTTGCAAAGAGATGGGAGACATGGGGCAAAACACCTGAGGAGCAGGAATTTGACTCTGCACATGGCTCTGATGGGAAGAGGGAATGTGAGCAGAAAAGCATCTGGGAGCTACGTTCCATGGCACTCACTAATACTTCTCCCTAAAGGCATCTTAAAGAAGTAGAATAGTAGAGTTAAAAGGCACTATTAACTCCAGATTTTGCTACTTGCAAATTGTGTCCTATTCCCCATCTGTGCTGGCAGCAGAAATGCATGATGAAGTTACCTTAAACACTCTCTGGGAGTTAGTTTCAGGACCACAATACAGATGTGCAGAAAATAAAGCTTCTATGGTCATTAAGAATATTCAAAAGAGGCCTAAAGCTTGCTGAAATCCTTGTGACATCCTAAACATATTTGAGGGAAGAAGACTGATAAAAGTCATAGCTAAAAATCAGCCTTCCATGAAATATGTAAAACTTTATAAATCAGTTTTAGAGACTTTATAAGAATCTATCCTGTTTCAGATAGGCTAGGCTGAAACCTGCTAGGAAGCAAGTTGTGGGGCTCTCAGCCAGATGTGCCCAAGGAATAAGTATAGCATTTAGGAACTCCAGAGAAATAAAGAACTGTGGTAACTCAGCTCTTGGATGAATACTCTGAAGGGAGGGAAAAGAAAAAAAAAGAAAAACTACATTAGCTAGTAGCTTGGCAATATTTGGCCTGAGGGCTAATTCTTCCAGGCAGTGTCATGCAGATGATAAATCTGTTTTATCATTTTGGAGACCATTTTCCCTTTAAAGAGAGATACCACTCCAGACATGCTCTTCTCTATAAGTACAGCTTGTGCAAACGAGGAAAGCTCTGTTTTTAACTGGAACCTGGGGAGCCTGCTTTGTAATTGGAACAAACAGCAGAGGAATCCTTAATGCTCACTACACTACTTATATTGCACAGAGCTTTCTCTTTTACCAAAATATCCATGTCTGACCCTTTTCTGAAAGGTGGGGAAGGGGCTGAGCATCTGTTAAGCACTGGTGGAAAGACAGATCCAGAAGGTAAGGTCACACAGGGGTATGTCAGTCAGGAAATGCAGTCCTGATTCTGTGGAAGGCTTCTAAATCTGACTTGAGGCAGTTTAATTTGAGGCACTGCTCTCTGAGTTACCCTGCTGACAAACAGCTGTGTTAAAGCCCCTTGCCTCACAAGGGTGCTATCATGACTAACATTTTCTAAAGTGTTTGCATGTCAGAGGTGACTGTAGCAAAGAAAAATATATATTTTGTGGTTTGAAATGTATTTTGCGTGTTTGCATAAAGTCTGTTCTTACTTACCTGTGGTAAATGAGCTTTAGCATGTAATGAGAAAATCTGAAACTAGATCTTTCTAGTTATTAAAGTTATGTGTTGCTGGCCCTTCCCCCCATCCTACTGTTGTTATAGCAATAGTGTTTCTATCAATAGCTTCATAAGAAATATTAAACCCTCCTTGCACTTTTACCTGTTTTGGCTCAGCCAAGCTTATGTTTATTTTTTTTTTTTGACCAGAAGAAATGTAATCATCATTTTGAGTGGTACTTCACTTGCCCAAAGAGGGCTGTGACAAAATCATCATATCTGCTGTTAAGTACTTTTCTTTATTAACACAACCTGAATTAAATTACAGTATTTATTAATGTACTACAACAGCAGTGTTGTATTTCTTTTTTAATGTTCTAGAGTTGGACAAACAAGGCTTCACAGCAACTTTCTTGCAACTTTTAATAACCATGGATGAATGGAGCTGGGATAATCAAGTTCACGCGTAATTTACCGCGAAGGATTGTATTTCATTTTGCTGTCACACACCCTATTTATAATCTTCTGCATTGCTCTGAGAAGGGACTCTGGAAGGAGGAGCTGTCTTGGGTATCACAGGACGTGCAGCTCCACACACACACAGCAATGCCAGAGCTTGCTGATCATCCCCCAGCGTAAACAGGAGCAGCAAAGTGGCGCTCTGACAGGATCATGAAAGAGTCATGAGGAGACCCAAAACAACAGATGGCAGTAAAGCATTATTGGGTCTCCTAACCAAAAGGAATGGAGGTGTGTGATATTACAAGCTTCCAGATGGCAGACTGTAGAAATGAGAATTCCACTATCTGCTCTTGTGAATCCTAACCACTGCACATCATAGAAAGGTATAATTACTTATAGGGAGAAGGTGTTTTCAATGATTTTGAGTGATATTTCACTCAAGTTACAAGATGAAATATTTTCTGGACAGGTAGAGCTGAAACTTAGGCACATTTGTGTCATTCAAGAGCTTGGTGTGGTCAGTTCTTTTCCTTAGCTGCACTTGAAGTCTTAGTTTTTATTGCCTTGAACATACCAGTTCCTTTCTGTAAAAGTGTCCTGAAAGCATCTCATGACCAAATATAATAAAGAGGGTCAAAACTTGACACCATATTGGGGTTGTGTCTTTAACTTTCTTTTGTTTGGGAAGCATCCCTCAAGACAGATTTAATCTGAAAGGTTTCAATCTGAGGGTTGTGGCTTGAAAACCCTAGTCTATTAATTAATTGTTGACTGCCACAGGTCTCTGTTAGTTCCCCCTTTTATAATATGAATAATGTGAACTATGGCCTGATGTTCAATGAATATATTCATTTTTATTGTATTAGTCTTAGAATAAACCTTAGTGAAAGAATGATCTTGGGACTTGGTAATTTTGTATCTAGTGATTATTTGTTATTTTTCACCTGTTAATAAATTGGGTTTTTTTTTTTTTCACTTTGCTCATACTCATTTTCTCTTTATTGGTGGAGAGAGATTGGCTGAAACTAAGAGGAGGAAACTCATTTTACAATGCCCACCCCCACAAATTGTCATAAACAAAACCAGCAGCCATCATTGCACATTGCTTGGAACACAATTTGCAGCTGGGGTGTTCTAGGTGTGCTGAATTACTCATGTGTGTTTTGGGGTTTGGAGAACAAGTGGGACCATGTTGAGATTTGGGTTAATAAAAAAAAAAAGAAAAAATAAAAAGAAAAAGGGTACTATTCTGAACAAATACATCTGAAGATATTTACCTGCTCGTTGTTTCATGAACTGTGTAACTTTTGGGCTCTGTGTGGGCTCTTACTAGCACTGGTCTCCATAACCAGCTTTTAAGGCTTTTATGTATCATTTCAACACACAAGAAGCAGTTTGGGGACTCATTTTCTTTGCCTCTTGCTTTTAGGCTGTATCTGTGTGTCCCAGTAATTCGGTGCACCAGCAGTGAAGCAAACAGTAGATGAAAGAACCTGCTGATGAGGCCTTTACATCTTTACACTGAGCCCTGCCTGTCAGGTTTCTGTGGGACTGGGTTTAGCCTGGCCTTCTGAACTGAGTGCTGCCATCAAATGGGCTTGGAAGCTGCTCAGAGCTTCAGTCACTGACTGACTCTTCTGTGCCATCAAAGCCTGGGTGTGCAGTCACTGAGTGCTCCAGAGGTCACTGCCTTCATGCCCTGCAGGTACAAACAAGCTACAACAGAGTGTATTGTGTTTTTCCCAGCCCCTATGTGTTTTTAACCACATTTCCCAAGTTCCTTTCTTTGATGGTTGGGTTAATCCTTGTGTTTATGGAAATAGAAACATCACAACCTGCTCTGGTGGATTCCTGTACTGGACACTTCACCAGTAGCACAGTGACTTTAGAAAATCTTTATAATGCACAGTAACATTTTACTGAAAAAATTAATATTCTTTATTAAAACCAATTAAGTACTGTCATTAGTGGTATTCATCATTCATTGGCATTCACTAGCTGCCCCAGTTGGTTTGCATTGCAAATTAATTTAATTTTTCATGGATGGCTATAAATGTGCATGAGCTATGTAATTCATATGTAAATATTATTTTGATTAAATCCATCTTCACTTGCCAATGCCCTAAAATGCTTTAATGTTTAATATTCTTCAAGCTTGTGGGCCAGGATTTTAGCCATGCTGCATTTTTCAGTAGTTTATGTCTGCTTCCACAAAATCTTTCATTTCTCCTCAACAAAACTATGCAACACTTCCTGTATCTAACTGGGAACATTAGTTTCCTATATATTAGATTTTATTGTATGCTTGACTGAAAATGCTGTTTTGATGGATTTCTTTGAAGTACTTGGAACACTTTCAGAACCCCCCTTTTTTTTTTTTCCTAGGTTAAAACTACTTCTGGATTCTGGCAAGAGAGCTTTTCCACATTTTTACATGCTGTTCCCAAGCCACTTATTAGTGGGCCATTGATTTATAGCCAGAAGGTAGCCTCCTCCCAAGTGAAAACCGTGAGATATTTGTTTGAAAACATCATGCTAATTTAGTTTTTATAGCTGGTGATTATGAGGATAAACCATCATGTTTAAGAAGTGCAGTTGACTTGGAGGCTAACTGCCATTAGCTTACAGAAATCTTTAATTTTCTACTGCTTCTGGGACCCAAGAGCTGGCTTGAAGAGTGCAGATCCTCATGAGCAGGTTTCCTTGCACAGCAATATTGCAGTGTGCTGTACCACCTATAAAAGCAAGCCATAGTTCAGCTGCTGGTGATTCCAGGACTGGACACATCAATTCTTACAGCCAATGTCTGCTGGATCCTCCCCAGTAGCTTAATTAAGGAGGCTAGTTCACCTTGGATCCTTCTGACAACGTGCCAGAGAGAAAAGTGTCTCACCTCTCAGCAAAAGGATGTGTGTGTTTTCGGGCAATAAACCAACAGAAGGCATAAAGAACACAGTTTTTCTCATCTCAGAAGAAACTCATCATGATTTACATTCTTGTAACTGAGAAAAAAAAAAAATAAATGAGGCTCTGAATATCTTAGAAGACATTATCCAATTGGAGAAAAGGTTAGGTTTGCACATTTACTGTCTATAATAGTATTTCTCTTCCCCAGCTCCTGCTGGTCAGACGTGTGTGTGTGTGAAATGCAAATGCAGATGTGGGAGAGTAAGAGAGAATGTCATATCATAGAACAAATTTGAGCAGGAATAAAAGTGAATGTATTCAGAGAAAACTTGTCCATTAGTCACTCACCCTTACTGCTTTTTCAGCTGCCTTTCATGTCTTCACTTCCATCTCCTAAACGTATTTTCTTTATGAATGTAATTGTGAAATGGCTAAACGTAGGCTGTCAGTAATGCTGTGTTCAGAAGTACAACACTTAATTAGAATTAAAGCAATAAATGTGTATCTGTCTGAGAAATGGACACAACTATGACTGTAATGGTAATTAATACATTGTTGTTAAGAGGTACTTAACAAAAGTGTGATGGTTTACCTTGTGAAGGCACAAGCTGCACACTTTAGCTCTCAAAAATTACCCTTCTTGGTTCTCTATTAAAAGGATTTTTATCTTCCTTTAGACCCTTCCAGTTCTAGCTCTTCCTGGGAAATGAAATTAAGATACTGGGTGTACAGTCTTAGATAAACCAATTAATCCTGGTTTTACATTAAACAATATGTTTTATGTTAGAACAACTGTAATGGATTTGTAAAGAACTTGAATATTTCAGTCAAAAGAGACTTGGAGTGCTAATTTTTGTGTCAGTTTAAACTCAGAGCTGTCACAAACCCCTGGCAGAAAAGGTACAAAGCTATCAATGTCTCCTCTACTGCTATCTCTTCCCAATTTCTTTCATTGCAGCCATAAGATGGAAAGAACTCCCTTCCTGCCACAGCCCCCCACCTCTCTGTATTACCCTGATCATCCCAACACTTGGTAAGATAAACCTTACATGTATGGGAGTGTCTAATCTGAACAGAAAAAAAGCCTTGCACGTAATTAGAAACAGCTATGTACAAGTCTAAAGAGAAAATTTTTAGTTAAACTCATGAATGACTTTTGCTGAAAAGTAACTTGCCTTTTGGGTATTGATGGAGATGTGTGTGTGACACAATAACACCAGGTGGACTCTCATTTCTGAGCAGTTTCAGTTATGGTCCAGTAAAGAACCTTCTTGCTTTATTATTTAAAATCTCAGGTCAGTGAGATGTGGCACTAAATGAATTATTCTGCTGAACTCATCCTGGGTGTGTGCTGCTCAGTGCAATATTGTGTTCCCTTAGAAATCCCCTTGGCCTAACTTCTGTCTGGGTATATTTGCATGGCAGTAGTGACATCTCAAATACACAAAACAGTCTTCTACCTGCCAGCTGCACTGCCACAGCTCTACCATTCCCTCAGGTCCTGTGGTTCCTCTCTAGTGTTGGTGAGGGCTGTGGAGATGAGCTCTTAGCATCTGGGGTCCTTCCCCCCAGGTTCCATCCTTACCCTAAGTTATACTGCTTACCCCAAGAAATGCTTGGTTTCTTTTTGATCTTTCTGCAACACTTTTTCTTCAGTGTTTTGCAGCTCTGTTTTACATCCAAATCTCATATATATGGCCCTTTTCCTCATGCTGCATAGTATTTCTTTGTTATTTATAAGCAAAGATTTTTCCATGTTTGTTCTGTATTTCTTTAACTGTTTATAGCTGTGGATTTCCTAGTGCCAAATCTGTGCCCCATCTTTCATACTGTGCCTGGTTTTCCAGACTCCATCCTGTAACTGAGGTTCCCCAGCCTGTGTCCTCTCAGGCTGTGTTTCTCTCTACCACATTTTGTTAGTTGTGGAACCACAGTGGTGCCATACAAAGGTACACAGATGTAAAATGAATTAGCCATAGACACCTAGTTAATTAGGGGGGGAAAAAAATCTTGTTCCAGGAAACTAAATTAAGCTAAAATTAAATTTCAGGCAGGTCAAGGTAGATTCAGACAGAGGAAGGCTGGTAAGTCTCAGTCCTACAAACCCAGTACAACACTTGTGGGCTGTTACTAGCAATGGCAGGAGCATATCAGAGGGGGAGTTAGTTACTACATTGTGAAGATGTCCTGTGACAATTGGCTAAATTAAGACAATTCTTCAAAAGCTATGTTCAGTAACAATTGTTCTTAAAAGTGACAACAGCTATGGGAGGATAACATTAAGTATTTCCACAGCGATTCTATAACTGATTAGTTTTAAATCCGTGAAACATCAATTTCCATCAACAACGTGGTGTCACTGCTGATGATTACTCATCTGATCCACATGGGTTTCTTAAAAGGATGTATGCTCCTATGAAAAATAATTCATCAAAGAAGTTAAAAAAGTTTATGTAACACACCTGACAATTTCTTACCCAGTCTGCAGAGTCTGAGGAATTGCAGGCAGCTAACAATGGAAGGCAGCGTGTGCAGGTGCTGTGGCTCAGTCTGTGGTTTGGGAATTCTGTGCTCTCATATCATCTTTCATTTGCTGCCAGGTTTCCCCTGAAAGGATTCTTGAAGTGAAAAATGGGAAACAATGTTTTAGTTATTCTCATGCCTGGTCCTCTGAAATAATGGGGAGCCAGGAGTGTTAATTTAAAAGTGTAGTGCTGTGCAAACGTAGTAAATATTGCAATCTTCTGTTATGGAACCAGTGTTCAAAATCTTAAACAGACAGGAGAAAAAAGGTAAAAAATCCCTTGGTGGAATATTACTGTCAACATTAAGACAGGCTCCTTCCAGTTGCTTCTTCTGTCTCCCATTGCTCTTGTGCTTTGTGTGTGAAACTGAAGAAAATGTATAAAGAATTGTTTTCAAAAATAGGCTAGAAAAGGTTCACTTTTCTTTTGTCCATAGCAGGTTGTGTTTTTTCCTAGGACTGCTACTCTTTCTGATGTCTAACTCTGCACACTGTTGGAAAGAGCACTCCAAAACCAAGCTTTTGTCTATAAATGTCCAATGTAAGTATTTCAGCTGTTTTTAGGTGTCTCTTAACAGACAGTCTTGCTTTTATCTCCTCTTTTTGACCCTACTTAAGCTACGTGAGAACAGTATAAAATCTGCCTGTATCCTGGTTCCCTGTTCATGCAGCACTACTGTAAGTGAGAACAGGCATGTTGAAATGCTCACTTCACTGACCTAAGATTTGGAAATGAACTGTTAGGACATCCTGCCAAAGGAGAGGAGACTTTTCATCTCATACACATTCCATTTGGAGCTTGGAAGGGCCACTCTGTGATCATGGGAGAAAGTGGCAAAGACCTAAACCTGTTTTCTGCAGTCAGTTCTGCAGTCACCACGTGTCAGGAGAAAAAGTGAGGCTGCTGTTCTGCCTTCCTGCCACAACAAGCTAAACTCGTGGGAATTCTCCCAAACAATCCCATGTGGCAAGGCCAAGCCTTTTCTTGGAGTGCTATGTAGGTCTTTACCTATAGGTGGCTTGCTATGGTTTCCAAAGCCAATTTCATGCCTGACATGTGTTCCTTTGGCACTGATTAGAACCTCAAAATGGCACTTTGATTTTTTCTCTTACAGGCAGGGGTGATCAGGAGAACAAGTCTGAAATATGAATATTTAGGAAGCTCTCTTATTTTTATTTTGGTTTACTGCAACCAAAGACTAAACTTATGCATTTATTTTTCTTATACTTATTCCCCTCCTATCCCATATAGGTAAAAACATCCTGGTATTAATTCCCATTAGGGAAAGGAACAGGTGAGTATTTCATACACTGGAATAAATAGTTTTGTGTAACTTTTTGCCAACTCAGTACACCCAGTGGCTGATAATTCTGTTTAGAAATAGAAATAACTGGGACTCTAGCATTTCAAAGTATTTCACAGCACTTTTAGAATATTATGATGGGGGAAAATGTTAGTAGCTGCCATTTTAGTGGGACAAAATGTTGAGAATTGAACTTCAAAGTTATGCAAGTGCATTGAAGGAATGTTATTCGTACCTAATGCCCTTAAGAGGGCGCTTATTCACCATTGCTTTTGTTTTTAACATCATCTGTTATAATAAAGTGAATTTAAAATTCCACTGCACAAGGTTAACATCTGACTGCAACCTGTTTGGGCTAACTATGGTTACTGACATCAATAGATACAAGTGTACAGCTGTGTTGCATTAGTTAGTCTTAATTTATATAACATTTGTATCAGTCTACAAGAGTGCCACTTCCACCCAGAGCAGCAGGTGCAAAGCAGCTCCACACCTCTTAAAATAATCAGCTTTTTGTTACACAGGAGGATTCTGATTTGATTTGAGGTTTTCTTTGGCTCTGCCTTTTCTGGGACAGCCATCAGCTGTAATAAACTTTGTTGCTTCAACCTCTGAAGTTGTTCTTTCAGTAAACTGCTGCCTAAGTAGGGGTGCAGGAGAAGACTCTGAAGGATAGAGAACAGCTCTGGTAATGAAATTGGATATCAAGTGTCTGTTTTCTTTCTAAGGCAAATACTGAGAAGTTTTGTTTTCTTGGAAAGGTTCTTTCCAGTTAGAAGTTCTGCTTGTTTGCAATCATTGTGGCAGCTGGATGGATGTGGCAGTCAATGCTTTTTCTCAGATAAAATAGGATTTGGCTAAAGATCTCAATTAGTCCAGAGCTAGATCTTGGTATGACAGTCTGCTCCTTTCCACACAGAACACTGGAGAATGAAAGTGTTTGGTACAAACCTGGCATCTCCATAATTGGATTATGTCACATGCCATAGCAACAACTTCAATGTAAATATATACGCAAAATTTGTAACACATAAATTATCACAAAATTTACTTATGCACCCTTTGCCCAATCATCCTTTTAGGTTTTGCAATTTTATGTGGACTTGAAACATTGCTTAATTGTAGACAGCTAAACTGTGGAATTTGTATGGAGGAGCTCAACTCTGGTGACAGAGTTCTGTCTGATTTTTAAAGCCTTCATTTTCCATATGTGATTGATGTCTTTCATGTGAGTCTGAAGGAGTAAGAACATATTTCAGTGGCTTGTACACGAGCATGAAGATTGTGTACAGGCCACAGACACAAAAAACACATAAGCACTTCACAGGCTGTATTCTGTAGCTCCATGGGATCTTATGGCTGTAGACATCAAAGCTTCATATTGTGAATTTATAAAGGCATCACCTGTTTATCATTCCAAAAGATGCTGAACACGTGTATTCTCATAAAGCTTTGTGATCATACATGTAAAAATAAAGGCAGTTACATCAAGTTACTTCTAGGCAACAACAAAAGCTGATCTTTCTTATGCTCTTTTATAAGTGAAATTAAGTGTGTACATTTGTTTCTCTCTCACACACACCAGTGGTGTATAGGTGGGATCTGGCTATTAAACAGTTTTCTATACCTTGTAAGCCTTTAACATTCACCTACATAAAGACCACTGATATTAAGAAGTGCATATCTATAGGACACAATTTAATTTTACGTGAATAGACAGAGTATGGCTTCTGATACTAAAATAAATATTTAAAATATAATATAAAATAATGATAATTATATATATATATATATGAGATTATGAAACATTGCTTTGTATCTCTATCACTACATAAAACTGAATCTTATGAAATACACAACTACCTGTTGTGTCTGAGGTTAATGAGAAAAGACATTTAATTAGTTTGCCATAAATCTAGGGGACTGCTATGCCTTTTTTTTTTTGACCTGGACCAGCTTATTGAATATTTTGGTAACAGAACTTATGAAAGAAACTGTCTGATTTGCCTTGCCTTCCTTGCATTGCCTTGCCTTGCTTCGCCTCCCTTCCTTCCTCCCTTCTCATCCATCTTATGATATAAAACAAATTATTACTTGTACTCTGAAGTCGTAAAGGGAGACTTAAGGGTTTACAAGCTCTAGGAAAGGTGGTTCTAGAGGCTTTGGACCAAGTCTTTGCAGGTGCCAGTAGGTGAAACAAGTGTGACAGGTACTTGGTGAATAATAAGGACAGAACTGCTGCCTTCCAGTACTAGGAAGAAAAGGGTTACAAGTTTTCTTAGTGCACTGAGACATCACAAATTATTTAATATCTGAGGAGTTCCTCCAGTGGCTAAGTGACTTGAAGTTATTGCTTATGTGTCATAGGAGCCATGTGAAAAGAGCTGTTTCCAGAGGTGGCAGTGGAGACCTCTGTTTCATGTTTTTATTTTATTGTTTGGCCATGTTTTAACTGCTCACATTGAGATTTCCTCTGTTGCTTCCAGTGGAGCTCACAAGTGGAATCTTTTGTAAAAGGATAGGCTGTATCCTATGGTCTCACAACCACTGTGGAATGGTGCAGGCAGAAGTGCTCCTGAAGAAAGCTGCTGTAATTTCCACTCTAACAACTGCTAAAACATCCTCTATCTATTTTATCTGCTCTTGTTGTTAAAAATGTGAAAAAATTATTTAAACAGAAATCTGGAAAACTCTAGAGTTATAAATCAGCATATGAAAATTTTGTTGTTGAAGATCATTTTTGGTGAAGTGTTCATCATGCATAAATATATAATGTAATGATACTAATGATGGAGTTGCTCAGACATTGATTACAGCTTCATTAAGTGAGATTACTCACTGTGATCTCAGTGCTACAAATTAGGTTTGGGTAATTTGACCTATTCTTTAATTTAGTGAAGTAGAAAGATAAATTGCTTAGGCAGGAGAAAATATTTTTCTAACATTTTGTGAAATGTTTATTTAAAGCATTATGTTACCCAAAATATTACCCTAATACCTGTTTATTCAAGATAGGCAAACTCATCTAAAATATTTTAGGGGTAACATTTTTATATTAAAGCCCTGAGATACTTAATTTTTATTCACTTTAAATTTCCTCCTACCTGGGTATTCCCACCTGACCTGAGCATGTGTTAATCCAAATGCATTTTTTGGGACCTTCACTACCAAGATCAGCTGGAAAGGGTCATTGGGAGGCTGGTGGTATCTGGTGATACTTTCTTTATTCTGTCTCCATCACTCTCTTTCTGTTCCCCCACCTCTTTTCTGTTTCTTTCTCTTCCTTTTTTTTTTTGGTATTTTTTTTTCCCCTCTCACTCACATTCACTACTAAATAAAATCCATACTATTGACTTTGTCATATTGTCTCATTTGCACCTTAATTTTCCAATAACTTTAAAAACTGGACAGTAACAGCATGTCTGGGAGATGCAGCCCTACCTGGTAATTATTTCTGGGGAATCCTATGCTAAAAAGATCTGTTTGCACACAGAATAAGAGGTGCCAGGTCTCTTTTATCAGCAAATGCAAAAGTGGAATTTCCCAGCATGTGTGTAATAAATTACCCTCAGAATGAATGAAGGACTTTTGTTTAAAACATAAACCAAACCTTGAGAAACATATTTCCATTTTTAAAAAACTTTGTGGTCTGCAGAATAGCTCAGGAGTGTGGAACATCAGCATCAATTAAACAATTAAATTTATGCTACAATGGGTGGAATGAAGGTGGTGTTCCCCCCACATGGGATTTTGTACTGAAGGAATATTTTAAGCACCATGATTTGATGTTATGGTAGGTGGATCAGTTTGACTTTCTAAAAAATGGATTTCTTATTGCAAATGATGGAGCTAATTTTCAGAGGGCTGCATTGAGAAATGCATTGGGGTTATGCATTTGTTGTGTGACTTTTTTTTTTTTATGTGATCCTATTACCAAAAATTCTGTAAAATAAAAAATAAAACCTTCAGATCCATGTAGTGTTAAGAAGCAGGAATTTTTCTTTGGCTGGATGCACGGGGGAATGAATACCTCCTCCCAAATCCATGCTGAGTACGTGAAAGTTTCTGTTTATATACTGTATTTTCATACATATTCATCGATTGCCCCAGAATATGATAATCGTTTTCCCAAAATCATTAACATGTTTTGCCTCCCCTGTACACAGATTTTTGTTGTCCTGGAGGTCTCTCTGGTGGTCCTGAATGGTTGCAGACCCCAGTGAAATAGCTGGCATGCTCGAGCTGGCAGGGCACTGGGGCTGGTGAGCTTCCAGTTCTTACACCATGGGCATCGTGCAGCTCCCTAGGACAGTGGATTTGGTA